TGTATTCAACGTCTCGTAGTCCATTTACACTAGTTTCCCTCTTCACACAGATTGTGCTTGCAGTCATCATCCTCCTAACAACACTGAATTGCATTCATTCAGTTTCGTGTGGGAAAATAAACTAGTACTTACGAATATCCCTGTCTCCCTCACTCTCCTTCTATCATTTCATCCGTCTCTACTCGCGAACGAATCCTAATTTGCCAATCCCAACACAGCAAGTGACAAGTCGCCCAATTTCATTCCAAGGCAATAGTCATGCAGTGTTGATTGGCTTATTATATATAGCACTTGTTTCTGTAGCTTTCACCGTATTTGAGGCTAATGAGAATACCTCATTACCATAGTAATTCTCCCGCGAACCATCATTACCTAACAAGCGATACAATAGTAATGTCTGATGTCTTCTTCAATCTAGTACAGCTTGTGCAGACTAAGTACTCATCGATTTCATTAGTGAAGAGACGTATTTCTCTATGGCAAGCTTAGAGTGTAAATGGATTTTCAGTTTTATTTTCGGTAGACGCTTTGTACCAAGATATCACCTTATTTTGTTAATGAACAGTTCCTCAGAGTACTTAGTCGCTCGTGTAGTATACAAAACGTTGGCGAGGTCTATTTGAGAAAATCTAAGCTCATTTCTTCACATACCGACTCCTACTTCTTATCAGTTTTTAACGTTCGTTTTTAACTTAGTCCTTTACTCTTCCACCAACTTCGTCTCACACACTGAAATTCATCAGTAATATCGGTAATGTTCATCAAAATGACAGCCGACTTTTTTCCCTTTTAATGGGCACCGTACAACTCCGCTGATATTCGCGTTCTTTGCTCATTACTAGCGATTACATAATGCTGTCAGGTACCTACAACTTGCTTGAAGAGTTAAGATAATCCCTAAGTCTCAGCATTGCGAGTGCTCTATATGTATATGTATATATATGTGTGTATGTATAATGACAAAAGGGGCGATTGTGTGGATTTGTGTCGTTTGATGATAAAGAGCGCACTGACGCATCCACCGCTGTTAATGACGTTCGTTGACTTCACTTACTGACGAAAGCTATTGAGTGGAAAGGCAGCTGTTGTTCTTCTCCGATAGTGTGTGTGTGTGTGTATGTGTATGTGTGTTGTGTTTGTGTGTTTGTGTATGAGCATGTGTGTATGCGTGTGCGCTGGTGTTTGTGTTGGTATTGGTGTGTGTCGGTGTGTATGTCTGTATGTATGTTATGTATGCATGTATGCATGTATGTATGCATGTGTATGTGTGTATGTATGGATGTATGTATGTTCGTGTGTATATTAGTCAACGTAACGAGATATGGTGAACAATAGTGTTAGCTCTTACGCTTTGGTGTGAAAGCGTCGTCGTTTGGCTCGGATGGTGTGGTGTTAGTTGGTGAAGAGAATGCCGCGTGTCAATACTGTATTGGTGTCATGCGTGTTTGTCTTCATACGCGGAGAGCGCTCTTCGAAACTCTACACCCATTGGAAATGCATCTCCTGCTGTCCGTACTCCGTTTGGTTTCCCATTCCACATTACATGTACTCATGAGAGCCTTCGTATACATGTATCCAACATCAGAACCATTTTCCACGCGGTTTGCATGTATTTGTCGGAATTTTAGCTGCGCAATTATTGCTTTTTAATCCCTATGCCCTAGACCATGTCACAGTCTCCTATTCATCAAGCTGTGCTTTATCAGGGCGACAAAATTGTCTTTCATTCCACTTGAACATACGACTTTGTGAAGTCTCACGAAAAAATTTAATTCTTATAGTTTAAACTACTCGGTAAAGATCTGAATAGGTGGTAAACAAGGGGATGTAGCGTCTGCTGAATGAGATATATCCTATCGAAGGCATAAAAGTGCCTCGTCAAGCAAAAGATTTGTGCAGTATACCGTCGTTGTTAGGCGACACCACTACATCAGCATTCCTGACTATTTCAGGTTGCTGTAATTTCCACAAAACGATTGACTGATTAATAACAAATATTCTTACGATCTACGAAGTCGTTTATTGTACACCACTTTCAATTAAAACAGAGATTTGTTCTTTCTGTCGATGTGGGTCGGTCGCCTGAAATGTTAGCTTAGATCGAAATTTCTTTACGATAACGTTTGAACGACTTATTACTAATGAAAAGGTCAATTTCATGCACTCCATATACAGTGAAAATCGTTCTTTGAGTTACGATACATTTTGACCTTGGAAACAAAGGTGCATGATGTTTGGAGATTGTTCTCTTTCTTCCTTCCACCCTTAAATTTGCATATGATACGCAAATTACAATTAGTTGCTCGTTTCCTTTTAGAAGATCATCCAATTGCCACCTGCCCAATGACATTTGGAAATTACACGTTTTTTGATAATGAATCGGTCCTTCTAATATGAAAACTAAAGCGCTAAAATCCGAACAAATCTTTGCACCAGTTTTAAGCGAACCGTAAGTGGCTGTTGAAAATCGCTTCTAAAGAATTGCTCCAAGTCGTTCTGTGCAATTCTGTATCATAGAACACAAATGCAAATAGTGTCTGAGCAGATCACGTGCAAGTTACTGCTTCGTGTTAACTACCGTGTACCTGTTAAGCAATTTCTACCAATGTATACCTTATAATAGATAGAAAGTCACAGCAGTAGCGCTTAGATGAGTTCTAATGAAATGTCTAGTTTCCAGTACTCGCATAATCTGGAATCTAAAAATTGTTAAGCAATCATACACAAATTGATGCTTTACGGTTGCTCTTTTGAAGGAGAGGACAGACCTCAATCGCCGGCTAAATGAAACAATCTCCGTCGCTCTGTCGTTGGTGATGTTGCAGTCGTGTGGTGAATCTTGCGAATAGTTTCGTGGATAACATCAATTGTGGGCCGGCGCGTGCGATTTGCGTGACATTTTACAGGCTTATCGCTGGCAACCTTAGTTACGGCTTACTAAAAGGCGAGCCTTACTGTTGCACTCGCACGCGCGTAGCCAATTTCACTAATGGCGTCGTGCACAAGTGTGAATAACACTGCCGCTTTATTACGACCGCGCTTTTCCTACTCCTCGCATGACTTGCTAATATTGTAACGTAAAGCTCGCTCATAAGGCGAATACTAAACACTCATTTCATAATGTAAGCATGGCGTTCGCCCAGAGATTCTTGTTACCTATGGTTTTGATTTCGCATAATGTGTCATCTCGTCCCGTTTCGTACCACTCTGACTTGTCCAATTAACTTACTAGGCGCGCGTTACGGTAAGTGACGAACGTAACCGCCGACAGGCAGATGACATAAACTGGGTGAGGTTTTTGATTCATGAACTGTTTCTGTAATGCTAAGAAGAAGTTATGTTATTATTATTATGTTTGTCCTAAGGTAGATCACACTTCGATACCTAGCACAAAAGGCGAAACTAACCGGCAGACCATCCGACCCACTGACCGATCAACGCCGACCGTTGCTGCGCACAGTGGAAGATAATTAGCGACAGTGTAGCGCCTATAATGTAATTTACCTTGACTGCGCAGCTTTCGCTCTGGTTGCCAATCAATGCACTTCAACCGTTTCTTCCAGTTTTTGCAGCAGTAACGCGTTGCGTAAACGATCGAGGATCGCTGAGCGTCATGTGTGTGGTCCGCTCAGTTCTGACAACTTCTGTCTTCGTGATGTACGCAAATATAAATCAGAAGAGAAACGCCGGCGGTGACCCATATGAAAGATTAAGTATTGTCTGTATGTGTGGCTGTATATTTATATTTATGTGTGGGCGGGATTTGCGTCTCGGAGCGACGAGAGCACTCGTTTCACGCCACATCGCGTGCCTTCATTATCCTATCAGGAATTGTATACATATCATACGGTAATTCTGGCTGCTATGTACTCAATGACTCGCCTTAAGAGCAGTCTACCTCCTATAATAGTTCCACTTTCTGTTTCTTCAACACTGTCATCGCTGGTGGGTGCGAGTGCGAATACTTTGGCGCGACATCGGAGAAGTAGCGTGCCATACTGATGCAGCTTCCACTTCGCAAATACAATATTTTCCTTGAAACTCGAGATGCACTGGGATTTTCTGGATGGGACAACGGCGAGAGCAGGGGGAGGATAGGACCCACCCCACATACGATCATTTTCATTGATATAGTGGAGCGGAGCGCTCGGCAATGCGTGCACGAATCGAGTGTATGTGGTCCGGTGAGCATGTTTTCTGCTCCGTTCAGTGTTCTTATGAAGTAATTTCCCTTCTAGAAAGATTTCAATGGAATCTACCAAAGTTCTCTTGCTTGTCATCCTTTTTATTAATATGAGTACCTCAGAGCTTGATCTTCTTCATAGTTTTTACTTTTTCATTTTAGTGCAATCAGAATGCATATACAGCCTGCACAAACCTTCTCCCTCCGCGCCCTCTGTTTCACGCTCAAGCGATCGCGAACCTAGCCAGTCGACCACACACCATCCATGCCTTTCCGCATGTGCATAATGAATATCCCTTCACTGTGTACTCAACAATACTACCTCTACACAATCACCTATCCGCTTTATGTCATACGTCGTAAGAACTCATGTTCTCTTATGCTCCACTTGCATATTCCGTTCTGAAAATTCATATTCACAAATTTTTCGGTATATTTTATACACACACTTTTTTTGTGCTTCTTCCTCAAGTATCTGATGTCCTCATCGTGAAAATATATTTTTCATCTTCTTACCTTGAGTCAGCTCTTCGCGGTACTCTTCTTATTTTCACTCTGTCTCAATCAAATGTTTTTGAATCTTATTTCCATATGTCTAGGTTTTTCAACATCCTTTGCAACATTTTAAATCCTCTTTTCGAAAATTATATGTTCTTGGGTCTAAAATTCTATAAATTTGCACCCATAATTTCAAAATCACATTCTGATTTCACTTACAGTTAGCATACTATTTAACATCATTACTGTCCTGAATCCGTCGTCGTTATTGTTTCTGGCGATATTCTATGCCTTTAATGCTCGACGTCCTTAACCATAGATGTTTTCAGGCCGGTCTACTCTGCGGAAGGTTGGCGGCATGCCGCAACAAGAGGAAAACCGGTCCGTTTTCTTCATAGGAGTGCAAAAACGGCGCAATAATAATGTTGTTTATTTACTTTATTGTTGGTGTATGTTGAGTGCCAAAGCCACAGCGATAGGGGGTGCGTGTGTCTTCTACGTGTATGGACTACTACCTTCTAGTGTAGTGCAGTGTCGTATTGTATAGTATGGTCTAGTGTGATATATATGCAAATGATACAAGCATCTGGGATTTATTTTGGTAGCAAGTAACTAACCCCAGTTTATTTTAGCGTTTTAAGAAGCGAACTCCGGCTTAATCTGAAAGGTTTCATTAGGCATTCAACCGCGTTGTCATTGACACCAAATTTTTTGCGTGTGTATTTGAAAATTGTGTATATAGTACGTCTATTCAGTGTTGTCTGTGTAATAGCGTGTATTTATGTGTGGTTGTGAGCAGGTGTGTGTATATATCTCTGTTTGAATATGCATGTATAGGTGAGTTTGCGTTGAATGTATGTATGCGTAGATGTATGTACACCTGTGCCTGCATCAATGTCTTAGCTGCCCTATAGCGTTGTATTAAAAACTGGCCGACAGTTTGTTGTCTTTTTTAAAAACCATTAAGTTTAAAGCAGTTCTATAGGTTTTATGGTTTCTATGTGGTATTTCTGCTAAGCGTATCTTTATGGTATGGTGTTTTAGAAATACGGGTACCGACGACGTGTGTCATAACGAGCTCGTCGCCACGGATATGCGGGTCCGTCATCAAACGCAACCTCGTGACATCACTCCGGTCAGTATTTGATCTTTTATTCTTAATGCTACAGAAAGTGACGGTGTTTCATATTCTTTCGAAGTAACACCGATACAGTAAAATTTTCATGTCAGTATATATAAAGAATATAAATATATATAAAATATATATTTTTGGGTATATAAAGAATGCGATTGAAGTATTCTTGAAGTACATAGTAAAAATTATGTGGACATCACATTAAAAGGAGCCTGATTCTTTAATTAGCAATACTGCTCCTTCGCAAAGCCATTCACACTTCATTGTGTGCAAATACGTGCTTAAATTGGAACCACACGCAGTCGTGAGTGAGACCTCGAAGCCATTAATGCATAACTTAGCGTTTATGAAGTCAAGTTGGTGTTGCGTAGGTGGTTTCACTGCTTATTGTGAAAATGCTTCGCGAGGGTCGGAAAATAGACATCAACACGCAGTGGTCGGCCCCGGAAGGAATTGATGCTTGGTTAGATTGTGTGAGCACGGGTTGGTTAGTGCCTGCTGCTGCCTCTCGTCTCATGATCTGATATCGCGCCGTTAGAAGCAGCAACAACACCGTATGCATGTTCGATTACTGCGTAGTGAACGACGAAGCTTTCTTCTAAACTATATCGTCTTCGATGTCGAACCGCTTGCCCATTATGTTCTGTCAGCGCTCAACAGGAAGTATGCAAGAAGTAATTCTCCACTAACCAGTATACTAGAAGATGTTTGCGATTTCGTGTTGGAGAGATCCAAAATCATTTGGAAGTTTTAAGTTGTAAAGTAACCTGGTTCTCTAATAACTATATGATCGCTTATTATCGCTAGTAATGCTCGGGCTCAGTGCAATCTTTCCATTTCTAGTAGTGCAACAACAGTATCAACGACCATAATTGAGCATTCAGAAATTTCCATCAAGATCGAAAGCTGCAACAAGTATCAAAAAAGAACTGTGTTGATTAGAGATCGACTAGTTGTTGTTTGATGTGAGCAAATGTGTGAACAACGAACGTTGTTGTGCTCACTTGTTTTTCAAAAAGCGTTCGCCGCCTTCCTTTCAGTTGGTCGTGAGCTTTCCGTAGATTCACCAAGTTTTTCCTTCGCATTCAACTCATCCTGCGCGTGTATGTTTTTTGGTCATCTTCGTTTTTGTTGCTGTTAAAAAAGTTCTCACTGCCTTGTTAAACGGAGTCATCAGAGGCATGTTTATAGAAAACATAGCGTAAACCTTCTTTCTCTTCATCGAATCTTGGCGCGACGGTTTGTGGGTTGCATAAAAAGTCGTCATGCCGAATTGTACTATGCACACGTTTTTTGGTGTTGGAAAACGTCGAGTGAGCCCAAATTCACAGCTGCCTAACTGTCCAAAACGTTGTTCATAATTTTAAGAGGCTATATCAATTTTAAATTAACTGCTTTCTTTACATTCTCGATAGTGAGCACGATTGGAATTTCGTCAAGAAAGATGGAAAAAAGACAAAAACTCAAAACTTGCTAGTCAGATATTTTGTGCACTACAAAAATGTGCATGCTTCCTACTTACGTGCGTGCATTAAGTGGTTTATTCTCTTAACTGACTATGACCGCTCATTAGAGAACTCTTCCCGTGCTATTACATTTAGCTGGAAATCCTTCTAATTGTAGATGTTGTGCATGTTTTTCGAATTCTGCTACCAAAATGAACTCGATTGACAATTCATATGTGTGTTGTTTCGCTTGTCAATGGAAAAATGTTCAGGAAGTTTCTGCTTAGGAGTTGACAAAAATCCATCCACCACAACTGCTTTTGCTTATGAAGTAGCTTGTTACTGGTTGTTGAAAGCAGAGTATCTTTGTGGTGGTGCTCGTGATTTGGGAAATGTTGTTATCCATCAACGAAAATCAGATTCTAGATGTGGAACAATGTAACTCTATGACAACGAAGTCTTTACGTACTCTTGTTATCTAATTTTGTACTTAACGCTTGGCTTCCTAAATGCTATTCTTCCTCTCTGTTGCTGGGATCATGTAAAATTTCCCTTTATATTGAAAAATAAAATGTCTGAATTACTGTAAATCTTAACATGATTTCATTCTGTATGTCTCACCTCAGGCTTCTCTTAAGTCATTTATAGAATACCAAACTCTGTGATATAGTGCAACGCAGATATCACTAATGCATGAAAAATCTTCCATGAAAGGTTCTTTCACGAGTATTTTCTTTCCTCTTCTTTTCTGGAGAGTTTTTTCCACGTGTGAAGGAAAATTTTTTTCAGAAAAGGAATGAGGTAATAGAATTCGTTGCTGTTGTGTCTAAGTAGGATTAGAATGGGAATGCGATGTGTAACACATCAGTTAATTAGATTTGGCTGCACTCTATGTTAATCAGTTATAGGGAAATATGTTATGCGACTCCATTTCCATAAACGGCATGATTGTTCATCATTGTTAAGTTTCATTCTCTACACATCTGTTCTCTAAAGTCCTAATGTCGAACAACCAAGTATTATCTGTGGAGATTTCTGGCCACGTGATCACTTTTTCGCCACTTCTTAAATTCACAAAACCAAGCAAAAATGGCTGCTCGAATTTAGCTCGGGAAGTTTCCCATCACGAAACACTTCGCCCCCACGCACCTGTATTTTTGCCGATCATTCCTACATCGCAACAGTTTTTGTGGGAGAATGGGGCGAGAGGCAAGTTATTTCAGAGGCCATCATGATTTATTTGGGACTACTCGATGAATTAGGTTCTAGATTCGGAGCAATTTGTGCATGTGATAAGATTTTTCTTCTAGAACTATCGTATCGATATCAACCGTAATGTTGATATGTACTAACATTCGCTAGATAGCGCTCGTAAAAACTGCTCGTCTACTGAATAGTCATATTTTAATCAATAGACATTTAAAGCATGATAGAGAGCTCCGTACGTCTAACGTTATTCTTGTTCTCGTATTAACAAATGACACAATCCTCACACTTGCATTGTTACGTCTTGAATAGCTAGTCCAAAGCCACTGTATACACAACGAATGGCACAAGTAACTTAGGTCGACTGAAAATTATTTGCTCATCTGGGCTCCACAGAGAAAGTGAACACTTTTCGTTAAGCATGCCTGCACCTTTTTCCACATCTGCTCCAACACACTTCTTCGAAATTCAACTCCCATTTCATTGTATTACGTCTGCATAGAGTCACGAAAGAAAAGTAAGCTGGTTGTAGCGCGGGGACAGTATTCTATTGGTGCTAAATCTTCATCTATCCATCATATTCGTGGTGTTTGTGTCTGCTACGAGAAACCATTGACGAGTGCACTTTTTGGGCTTCCCAACAATGTGTGGTGTCAACAAGTAAGCGGGACCACAAACAGGAAGTTTTAAAACATGAAAGCGAAAGAGATTCACGTCGACCACTACATTATTGACAACAAAAGTAGTATTTCCCTATATATTTTTCTAAGGTGAAGACTTATTTGCCACCCGTGTTATTAAGGAATTTTTGGAACATTGCCATATACCGAGATACTGGCCAATTCCTACATTGTAGTATCATGAAAGGACATTCTGTTGCAGCTTTTTCCAGCGTTTTGACCTGTTGTTGAAGATATTTTCAGTGATGTCAGAGGAATGAAAACAAACCCAGTATAGATTCTATCTCCATATAGTTTAACGGGAGCAAGGAGAAGTGATGTAGCAATCATTAGCTCTCTCTGATCATGTCCACTTCCGAATGCATGGATCGCTTACTGAGTACGTCACAATGTGTGGTCTGATCGCACACAAACCGCTATATATGGACTGTTCTCTCTAAGTAATATGTGTATGCAAACAGTTTATTAACATGCTGATCAGAGGATATGACACCACCTATGTCTTCGCTCTGGCATGCTACGGTATGGTATTGAGACGTATGGTGTCGATTTTTCAGACGATATTTAAGGGTAGTCACAAATGTCTCAGATAACCATAGTGGTGGCTGCGTTGGTTGAATGTTGATTTAACAATGCTGTGAAAGCGACAGAATCGGCGTGGGTGCGATGTATGTTGTTGAATGTGAGTGAATGTGTGTGCTTATGTGTTCATGTGTGCGTGGTGTAATCGGAGAACAAGTTCATTGTGCTTTGCGAGCCGAGGTATCGCTTACGGTTTTAGACGTCTCGTTTCCAACTGGCGTCACTAAGCGGCTCAAACAGACACCGACCTTTTAGCAGCCATTTGTCATTGTGAACTCCATGGGGAATGCTGCGAGATTCAAAATTGTCTTCTTTCACTAAGTAACGTTATCAACATCGATAGTGTTGTTATCGTACTCATCGTCTCATCATTGTGATTTTAAATGTTTCGTTATTCATGGTATTATATATTATTCACAGGTTATATGGTTGTGCCACTTTATTAGTATGAGGGCTGACTGTTTGGCGACTCACCACAATACATTACGAGGATAAATTTTTTAAGAAGTCCTCTATCAGACAATCCGAGCTTGTTAAAATTAGGAGACAATTCCGCTCTACCTCGTGCCGTAAACCACATTTTCACTTCAATATAATTATTAACCTAATTTCAGCGTTCTCTGCCTGTTCCAATCAGCGGTTCGTCATCCAACGGGTTTTATGTCGGTACCGTCAGGGATCCTAGGTAATTTGTATCCAACTGTCAAGTCTTTTCTATGCCATGAAATTGGCTGTTCAACATCGCTGTATCGCATTTACGTCATCTCCTTCAACAGACCTCATACATCTATACAGCTATATAGTACTTTTACTACGGCTGTCATCAGCATCATTTAAAATAAGCATATATATTCGTTTTTAGCAAGCAGTTTATTGGTTTCCACAATTAGTGCCATCCTGTACATGTCGTGCTTCAATACCTCTGCTGATATTGAGCAACGAATATGTGCGGGATGGCGCTCATTGGTGGTTTCATCTTCTCCAATTCATCCCCTCCTCATTTCTTTTCCTCCTTAAGAAAATCTAGTTATTTTAGGCATTAAGTACAGAACGTTTCCACTTAATATCAGAGATTCTCTTATGTTAAAGTGCAGGCGAACTGAGGTGCTTTTTTCAAATGTTGTCAGTTCTAATGTCACTTCTAGGCGCTATAGTCTGGTTGCGATGATCAGAGCCAACGAGAAAAAGTCATATGGGGTCCGATCTCGTAGAAGGTACGTTTCTAAGCAAAAATATGTTGGAGGTACATTCGTTTCTAACGTTCTTCATGTTAAGAATAATTAGAGTTTGTGCTGATAAAAGTAGACTACTTTACCGGAAGCATTTGAAATTTTTGACGGAAATTACACCCTGAATAACATTTGTAAGTCTATGAAATAATTCTTCCCTTCTTTTATCAGTAGGATCCGATTTTTGTCTAAGAAGTGAATTTAAGTCTGTACGGCAGCAAAACGCTTTCATCGTCAACTAGCAGCTTATTTGTTATCGAAAGAAACATTGAGGGAATCCTTGTTTCGTCATGAATATTGCATTATTTATCCTCCTTAAGAGTTCCTTCATCATCAATGTCAAGTACATCAGACAAAGCCCTCAAAGAAGAATGTGAGGAATTTCAGAAGGAAAACTGTTACGATCGAGAGTGTGAGTGTCAATCAAAGTAGCTGAAAATAAATTTTTCATGTTAGTCGATTAACATAAGGGACGCTGTGCAATTTCTGTGGAATTTCAGCGGCAAAAGAAGTTCTTGTATTGCTTTCAGTTACAACTTTCTTTTTTGACGAGGAAATGCATTTACTGGCCAACGAGTTAGCCAAATCCGATCGTCGTCATAACTTAATGTCGTATGAGAAGCTAGCGTCGCCTGGTAAGCTTATGCCTCCTGACCAAAGAGTATTTACAAGTTTAGAGGAAGTCGGTGGTCGATTGCTACATGTTTCGTTTACCCAGTTACGAGACAAACATCTCGAGAACTCAATAGATATGTTTTTCTTTCAATGTCTGTGGTGAACCCCTTGTAAGTACATCAGCTTTTGATTTCTGCTTGCGCTTCGGACGTCGTTCGAATAATCTGAACATGTTGCAGATGTCATGAGAAGATGTGTTTCTTTTTAAATTTGAGTATTATTAGAATTAGGATCAGATTTAAGCGACGGTTACGTCGATTGTGATAATTTGAAAATCTGAGCAAACATGAACACTGAATTGGCACGTTAAAGAAATTCAACGATTTTCTAAGGAATCATAATAGAAAAGGATTATATCTTCGTTTTCCACTACTTTTGATTCTTGAGCATAAGTTGTGAGACGTCTAACATCACTTCTGATGTTGTCACTTTCTGGTTCTCCCTCTCTCATTGTGTAAATGTACCTGCGACGTATAATGAGGTATACTTTCGGTGGTATCACCTATTAAACTTAGAAGAAGTTTGATATCTGCATAAAGAAGCTCGGCTATGAGTCGACCAATTCCTGCAGTTGTTGCCATATTCCGGAATTTAGTCCAAAATGATGTATTTTCCCTCTCCACAAGGACCGATAAGTTCCGAAGGCGGCGATCTGGGAACATTATGGCACAGCAATCCTTGGACTCATGGGAAAAGAACACTTGTCCAATCGACGAAATGCCAGTCAAGTGGAAATTGTGCTAAGGCTTTCAAATTTTGTGAGGACAGGCCATCCAAGCATTCAAGTACGTATTTAAAAAATAAGTAACTTATTATTGAGAAGGAGCATGTAATCGCCACTGTGGACCATTGTGGAAGCACTTTACGTTAGCTAATTTTAGCACTATCTGAGTAATGCAAAAGCAATCGGAGTAAAACTATTCGGTTTTAAAAAGTAAAATGATCCACATCTCTTTTCTATGTGGGTTGGTGAGCAGATTTATGGTGTCTCCAGATGATTCACATGAACTTAATGAGCTGCACAAGTGTCCATGTGCTTGTCCTAAAAGGCAGATAGATTCAGGGTACAGGCTTCTTGTCTTTGCTGCGCTTGGTTGATTTGTATTCTATCTTCCCTACACGAGTGGTGATGTGCATACACATATTCATGGGTGTGCTTACGTTTATGCGGATCGTATACTGCTTGCCAGCTAGGAATCTGTAATCATATGACTGCGTCTTACGTAGGGAAGCGAAGCGACTTACAAGGAGTCATTTACAGCAAAGAGGCTCCACGCCATGTCTAGTGAAGGAACTCTCGATAAGCCACTCAGTAATGTACTCATATGGCAGAGCCCAGCGGGCTACTCATGCTTACTCTATGGCTGATTTAAAAGTAATAATAATGATGGTAATGCAGCGGTTCATATAAAGAGCTCAATACTGTTCGCGTCTGAGGGAGGCAAGCCTAACGGTCGTCTTTCAAGCGCTACAGGGTTGAGTAAATATTGCCAATGCCATATTGAGTGGTTAAATGATTAAATAAATTGCTGGTGATGCACTAGAATCGCTTTGACCATGGCGCTAGTTAAATAAATTGCTGGTGATGCGCTAGAATCGCTTTAGCCATGGCGCTATTCTATCAGATGATAAAAAGTTTCATTGCAGTGATGGAAGATGAGCCAATTCAGAACTATGAGGATCTCGTTCCTGGAAGACATCGTCGAAGCGGAAATGAACGCGTTCATCCGAACAGTTGGTTTCCAATGTGATATAGATGTTTGTAGAGTATAATTCATAGTATTATAACTTAATCCTTTCTTTATGTTAAGCTATTTCAGCGAGCAAAAATATTTGTTGATTCGTTATTTTCCGAAGTGAAATGACGTCTTCAGATCTATACACAGCGTTTTCCCGTTCGAGGAAAAGGCTCGAGCGAGACTTGCCTTCATGGATTGATGTGGATCCAAACGGAAAGAACGACGAACTTAAATATTGGCAGGACCGAATAAATTACGTCTATCAAAATTCATCAAAACCTTCTCTGGTGAGCTGTCTTTTTTTACGGTTGCGATTTAGCGTGAAATATTAATCTCTGTAAGTAAAAACACCATCATAATTTATATCATTATGTTAGAGAGAAAAAACCTTGGTCAGAACAATTCAGTTCTCGTTTGATGAGTAAGAAGACTGCAGGAGACCACAGGCCACAAATCCGTATTTTTGCAGCAGGGTTTACATTAGAACTCTTTAAATGTGCACTACGAGCAGAATAATTTGTAATTTCTTCGTGAAGTTGTCAAAATTTCATGCTGAAATATTGATATTCTTCCGTCAAATCAGGACTGGTTCTGTAAACGTCCGTTACCGTTGCAAACAAAGTGCTCATCAGAGTAACACATTCGTGATCATGTAGGTTTTACAATAACTGCAAAAAATCTCTCCGATAATTAGAGTACTTGAAGGCATTAAATATGAAGAAACTCGTGGAAGAAACTAGATTAACAGTGATGCAAAAATTTTGATGCACGCCTAAACGAAATCCTGATTCTTCGATCACTTCACTTCGAAAGACGCAAACCTTGATAAGCAAGAAAATCGAAGAGCGGCGATTGCTGGCTTACATAAGATCTCCATAAGTAAAGGATAAGCAAGCTTGTATTTTGGTGGAAAGAATACGTGGATTCTAGCGATTCGAGTTTCAACTAATAAAGTTCACTATGAGCTGAGATGAGAACGCGGTGTGGCGCAGTGGTCCGAGACACCCTGTAACACACTCATGGAATCGATTTCCGCCCCCATGGCCCACCAAGTCTTCCATCCCTCCGGGGTCGGCAATTTGGTGTCAGAATTGTCTGGGAAGATAGGAACCCTGGTTCCATACATCGGTGGGCCCTCGCGAGTCATTTTAAAGGCCACATATGCATTGAGTCACCTCCAAACGATGCTTAATGAAGTAGAATGCATGGTGCATCCCTCAGGGATTGATCAAGGGGTAGAGCTTTATCTTTTTTTCATTTATGAGCTGAGATGTGTTCGTTTGTTTGCTTTTGCGTTTTTGATGATGCAAAAGCCAAAATGTGTTCGTATACATGTGCCTTGAAATCAGTGCATGTGGTTGCGAATGTGTTAAAATGAATGACGATGATTATTTTAATGGAAAAATGGCAGCTTCAACTATTTTCATTTTTCGTAGTGATTTTTGCTATCGACATTGATTTCGTACAAAATTTTCTATAAATCATTTATTCGGCCGAATATAACCGTTATAGATTTGCTAGCTGAGAGATAGGCGAAACGAAGAACCAGCGTAGTGTGGTGGTGAACGCGTTTGCCCCGAAAAGGGTAATAGCGCTTTCGTTCCCCACCGTAGACACCTGCGGTCCAGAGTTTTGCAAATACCTCAGTACCATTGTGGTTGTTATAGATTTGATTAATGTTCCTTAAAAGGTGCATACGTTGCTTCCTATTAATGTGTTTACCAACTAGATCCCTTATCAAGCATAAAAATTTTTCATCAGCTGTAGTAAAAATGTATTTCGTATTACGTTTAGAAGCTGTCATATGATCTTGATGATTACTGATGGCAGAAGTGAATGTGGATAGTTTGCAGCACTGTGACCGTGCCTTTCACAACAACCGCGCTGCGGGCGTTGAAGAATTCCACTCAGAAACCGAACTTGACTCCTCCTGTGCTGGCAGTACGCCTTCGCAACAAGAACTGCATGATATCAGCGGCGGGATCTTCGGCTTTTCCGATGTCGAATCCGATCTCGACTAAACACAATCACCACTTGCCCAAATAGCCATAAATTGTTGTGTATGTGAGCGTGTGTTTGTGTTCCTATGTCATGATGTCTTTTCGTATTACCCGTTGATTCTATCCATCAGTTATTTTTTATCTACTTTATTCGTTTCTCATTTTCATCTCCGAAACGTAGCCTTCATATTCTGGTCTCTTTTGGTGATGCTGCTGAACTATTCGTTTTCTGGCACACTTTTATTGGTTTTTGTCTTCAAGTATCAAGTATCTCTTATTCCCGGCTTTACTATTCTAAGCGACTTTACGTGCAATAGTTGTTTTTTAATGTTTAGAATGTGATTATCATTTAACAGGGTGATGCCTCCAGTTCACTAGGCTGCAAGTGCGTTTTACTCAGTGTTTGTTGGCCATGTACTAAACCAAACATGAATATTCCGCATTCTATGTCTTTTTGTAGTTAGTTCTATTCAGTTCCGTTTATTTCATTTCAGTTCAATTCGATTCAGTTTCACTGAGAAAGTGTCATTTTCTGTTTTCGGTGCGTTGTACCGGCCGTCGTGCCTCGCTCAAAGCTACCCTTATACATTTCCCAGGTAGCAAATTCAGGCTGTCCCGATTCACGCAGCAAATCTAGGCAATGGCTCCCGGCACCTCGCCTACCGTCCTCTATATCGCACCTCATCCATCTCTCCGTTTCGCCTTGAGGACACGATTTTACGTCCCATTTCATCGTTGAAGTGCTGACTAAATTTTTTGCATAATGCAAAGCAGACTGGCGTAATCCTGTCCATAATATGTGGAGTAGATTGGGCTGGCTGTAGATATACGCATGGTTTGAACTGTCGTGGTTTTGTTTTAAAATTGTCTTTGTCATCCTCATGCTTTGTTTATTATCAATCATTATTTGTAGCCAAATGCATTTTTATATGAATAACATTCCTAACTGATTCTTTTGATACCATCTTTTTTTTTGTTTTATCAAGACAAATCTATGTCAACCATAGAAAGTAGTGTGGTGTGTTTCTTACACTGGAATTCCAATAAATTTTTGGTTCTGGATATCTGTGTCCAAATAGAGATCGTACATAATAGGAAGATTTTTATAAACATGTGGAAAATAGGTGATGATTGCCTACCTAGATCACTGAGATTAGGATGCCATTCAAAGTTGATCTTCCGAAATGGGATACCCCATTGAAAACAATTCTTTGACACCTGTTAGAAACCAAACATCACTTAACCACAGTGCGATTAATCAGCATTCTTTTTTTTTTCAAACTGTCGAGCTCATCCGCAGTTAGTATAAAATTTTAACCTGCAAGCGTTTTGTTACGTTTTCGTCTTCTTTAGAGCCGGATAGATCCCATTCGATTGTCGACAGTCATTCGTCCTTCCGATGTCGGTCTACGTAGTCGCGTCAAGTCGAATGTTCTTGAGCCAAGCACTGCTCGAGTGAACGAGTGAAGTAACCTCAGTCGGTAGTACCCTTTTCATATAGGACGGTTGTTGTTGCTTGCCCACCTGGTAATGATAAGTGTTCAGAAGTCTTTTCCTTCTCCAGCAATTGATGAAGTGATGGTCGGTTTTTGGCATTGATTTTTTAAGTGCTAGCAGGTTTAATACCGACTACTGGGCGATGCATGGTCTCACCGTCTGTACAAGGTGAGTGAGGTTCTCATTCGAGCCACGTTCCACTCGAGAAGATTCACTCAGCACGGCTACGAGAACCCACATTGTGAGACAAACAACTGTGGGCAGTCGATTCGAATCTATCCGGCTTTGAAGAAGACAAGAACGACGAAGCGTTAACCGAATAAAACTTAATGCCAATCTCGTGAGAGCTGGACAACGTAAAAAAGGTGTATTAACCTCTACGATGGTTAGGAAATGACATTAAATGTTCTAAGACAACTGGTCTTAGCGATGAAAGTGTAGGAAACGAATAAATGCTTCATCGAATTATGCGATCTCATGTAAATATTTTTGTTTTCCATAGGTGGTAACCAGTGGCAACGACTCCGCACATGTGAACCATCAGCAACGTGTCGGCAGCGAGTCTGTCACACTACTGTCCGTCTACGATGATCTGCACCACTTCGCGAAATCGTCATTCTCAGCAATACGTCTCATTTTTTACGGCATTCATCGTTTCTGTAGCCACTAAGAGATCGTTTGGAACCATCAGCACACTAGAGGTTTTCATATTTATTGATGATTTGCGATAATGCATAAACTCTCGAAAGCCTTCGAAAATGTAAACTTATTATTTGTTTTGTGCGAATATTGATTTGCGATGATTTCCTTGCATATATTATCTCGGTCAGCTGGTAATGAATCAAAGCATGAACTTAGCAATACATCATTTTCCTGTAGCTTCTATGTAAGTTTTCGTCATAACATTACAGTGTAAAGGAGGCGTTAAGCTTCAGAATAAGACTTCAATTTCCACTTCTGGTAGAAATGGGAAGGATATACGAAATTTCCAATAAGTGACATGAATAACTTGGAATCTTGAATGAGAAGTTCAGTTATAATCACAGTCTTAACCGTTTTATTTACTGCCTATTTCTTTTTAATACTAGGGTATGTTGCGAAATATAACTCGTATGTAATGCTGAGATATTTGCAAAACTCCGGACCGCAGGTGTATGCGGTGGAGAACGAACACGCGCTGTTGTCCTTGCCGGGGAGCAGCGCACTTCACCACCACACCATCCCGGCAAATGGCAAATGGCAATGCTGATGCTGATGCTTTTTGCTGATGGGAAAAAAGATCGATAGAACTAGCTGAGAGACAGGCAAAGCGAAAGACCGGGATGGTGTGGTGGTGAAGTGCGCTGCTCCCCGGCAAGGACAACAGCGCGTGTTCGTTCCACACCGCATGCACCTGCGATCCGGAGTTTTGCAAATATCTCAGCATTACATATGAAAAGTTCGCTTTTGTGAACTAAAAATTTTAGCGTAGACCAATTCCTGCGCGATAAGCCATCCGTTCCAGTCCATTTGCAGTACCGCACAGATGTTTAAACGCATATTTGGTCTGTACGAACGCTTTTGAAGTCTGTGATGCACTAAACTGGTATTTTTTATCCTCCTAGGCATGTTTGGTATCAATTTCTTGACTCAGGAAGGATGAAATGCAGGATTGATGAGTCCGAGTGTAGGACCAATCCAACGACCGATCCACTGTGTATTGCTCTGCACCTATAACTACTCCACAACACTTGACCAATAAGGCTTTAGAATTCTTCGCAGCTACTCTTATCTTCAAAATTTGGAGAATTTTTTAGCCAGAAGATAATGCGGAATTGAAAAGCTGTGTTAAAATCTAAGGCATGAATATGTATTCATTATTAGGTGGGCAAAAATGAAAGGCTGATAGATTGTTTGAAATCTCATTGTCTAGCCTTCATCATTGCCTTTTCATTATTATCGATTTCTTTAACATTATGCACTTTTCTCAAGAGAATTGTATCTTTAGAAGCAAAATAGGTGCTCGTGTAGAGCAGTGGTTAAAGGTGACATGGGTTCGACGACGTGCCACAAGCTCACCGAGATCTCTATCCCTCCTAGGTCGGCAAATTGATGCATAACTGTTTGGGAGGATAGCATTGGGCTCGATACATCGGAAGGCCACCGAGAGTCATTGTATATGCCAGATATGTATTCATTCACCTCTAACGATGCTTACTGAAGTCGACTGGAATAGCGAATTCCCAAGTGAATGATCAACGCTGAGAGCTTAATCTTTTTTATTTAAGCAAAAAGACTGAATGAGTGCTGCAACTGTTGCTGACATGACAAACACTATACTTGGCTCAAAATCATCTAACAAACGTAGACGAAACCTTTTCAAGCAATGCATAAAAATAGAATAAAACAATAAGTTTTTCCTTTGTAAACAGGCAGAGAAAGACGTTTATCCAAGATCCGAACTTTCAGTTTTATGAATCTCTCTTTACCAATTTTTTCACGGTATTTTCACGGCCACGCCCCAATTTCAATCTGTTTTAAAAGATAAAAAAGGATAAAGCTTTCGACGTTGACCAATTCCTGAGGGATGCGCCAGGCACTCCACTTCATTAAGCACCTTAGAGGATACTGAGTATATACATGACCTGCACAGTGACTCGCGGTGGCCTACCGATGTATCGAGCCAGTACTGTTAATCTTCCAGACAAGTTTGGTACCAATTTGCCTTTGGCTATTTTCTTCGAAGCTGTGACGCTTCCTGGCTGTAGTATCCGTCCCTAGAATGAGCGAGCGAAACTCACTGAGTAGTTTAGGTACTTAATAGGAAAGAATATGTTTTACCAGCGCCAGATCACGTTACTCAGTGAATTAATGTGATTACAGGGGAAAAATAGGAGGCAGTTTCGCTGACAAAAATGTGTTATGCTACCGTGGATAGCTTATGGCAGAATTTTCGCCCGAAAAACGCTATTCCTTCGATTGGGTGCTTTGTTGAAGCAAAAATGATTTTAAAAAAATAGTGTCGCAAGAATGCAAGATTTTTCCAATGTTTGAGCGAGAATGGCGATGGCTCTAATCTCTTATGGTTAGCTTAAAGCTGCACTAGTCTCTGCTGTACTAAGTAGAATACTTGTATTTAACGTATAACTCTCGATACCCATAAGATACAATCGATTTGGCTGAGAAGTAATGGTCCTTCTCAACTTTAAATGGTCATATCTCAGCTCATATTGGATGTTATAACTTGGAACAGAAATCTTTAGACTCTGCATGCCTTCACCTAGAGGGTACTGGTTGTCATATTCTATCGAGATTAAACCATGATTTTTTGGCTATTATAAGAGATACTTTTTAAACTTTATTGCGTCGTGGCTCATATTTCGAACACCACGAAAAAAAAACCGCGAACAGAATTTCGCCCAACAAGATGTGAAGTACGATCTTTGTATCTGCCATGTACTTTGAAATAGAGAAAATTCATCGACTTGTGAATTAGACCATGTCTATTCCGTTGCTCACTTATGAAAGTTGGTAGTTGACACCTCCGAGTCGAAAATTTGAAGATCTAGCCTTCAATACTAATTATCTCAAAGCTGGAGTCCTAAACATATTTAAAATTGAGTAAAAATTGTGTACACGTTTAAGGCGATAGAACAAAGTCTCTTCCATAAATCTACGATGATATCAAGACTTCATATGCTCTAATGGCCGAGAAATTATCGTCAATTATCAGAAAAGTGGCTTCGAGCGCCATGTATTGATAAACGGCATGTACACACTTTGCATGCGATTCATTCACATTTCTGTTAGGAATTGTAGGGATCATTTTATTACTATAAGGAACTTTACTCCATAAACAACGTGGGCATATTTGGTTTAAAAGTACGAAGTAAAATGAAATAAAAAGTCTTTTGACGGGTGACTACTGATGGCAATGATTGACGGAACTAACTGAGAGACAGGTGAAACGAAAAACTCGCATGGTGTGGTGGTGAATGCGTTAGCCCACGGAAAGGGTAATAGCTCATCCGTTCCCTACTGGAGACACCTGCAGTCCGGAGTTTCCCAAATGTCTCAGCACCATTGTGTTTCTATCACACATAATACCTTGTTGTGAAAAATTGTAATAGGTAGCAAATTAAAAAGTCAACATTGAAATAGAAAGCATAAAGTACCAACGACGACGAAAAAGTTTTTTTGCAAATTCTTAATTTTGTTTCAGGATTTCGTTTACCTGGATAGATTTTGTTTCCAATCGTTCACAGGATGTTTAGAATATTCTCTTACATACCCAACCGTAAGTTTGCCCCATTCTTGACTGTGTTCAATGGAATGCCTATTTTTTCCAAAATTAAGTAAAATAGTGGAAGTTATTCACCGTGAATATTTTTCATCAGTGGATTTACCGCTTACAGGATTTCATCACTCCCAGTCTGCTTTTGTATTACGACTCTAGTGACCAATGGATAAGAGCATATAAGGAGTTAAACGTTCGTAAATTCTTTCTCATATGTGAAAACCAAAGTGGTGAACTGCTGCTTTGTTTTTACAGGAATGTGAAGATCGTCAAGATGTCCTAAAGAATCGCTCTCTTGATTCAGCCATAGTCGGTTTGCACATATACGGATAACTAATACGAAACAGATTTTTCTTTATTGCTCTTTAAAGAAATTACTTAAAACTATTGCCTCGCTGCCATACCATGTTTATCCCATTGATTAAATCCACTTTTTGGACGCCTTTAGATCCACCTTGATCCGTACGATCGTTCACCTCGTGCGTTCGGTGCCCGGTGTCGTCTAATAAACGATCTTTTCGGACGAGTGTGGGTGAACTGCAAAGGAACTCGTACGTTTCAGTAAGTTATCATTGAAGCATCTACATTATTTAAGGTTCTACTTGTCGATTATTGCAATTTACATGATTAACTCTCCGTGGTTCTCACGCAGCATAGCGCTTAGAGGTGCCTCTGCGATACACTTAGTCTTTGGTTCGGGCCTAAACCAAGGACCAGTCAAGTCGGCTTCTTCTGGAATTGATAGATTAGTTAAAAACTTGTCTGGAAAAATAAAACACTGGCTTCATAGATCAGTTGGCTTACGGAGTTCGTATAGGCCGAACATGTATTCAGTCACTTCTGTGGTGGAGTTGGTTATGGTGTGCTCCTTAAGAAATGATCAATGCCGAATTCTTCATTCTCAGAAATTTTCGTCCTTCATGCTTTTTAGGAATTAAAAAACAAATTGGAAAGAGTACCGTAACTTCATTCAGATCGATGCGATCACGATGGTGGTTCTTGGCATTGTCGGCGTGCAAGGAGGAAAATATTGGAAACAAGTCAACAGGTCTTCATGTCGAGTACGAACTCTTCATGACAAATGGCGATCCGAATGACATTCTTCGTTACCAGTTTTCGGATGATGAATGGCGTAAGAATTATGTGCTCAACCTTTGATACATTGAAGTACGAGCTTCGCAACTCCTTTTTCTTCAACCGTGTTCAGTTCGGAAATACGTTAACGATTATTTGGCACTGTACTTACAAATTTTTAAATACATTACTACTTAGCTTCTATCTGATTGAATCTATTCAGTAGATTCTGAACTTTTGATGAAATTCTTTTGAAATTGATTAGCCACTAATTAGCTCACGTGGTTTATTTCTTTCCTCCTGTATTTTACCTTTTTGTTTGCTACGTAGCTAATCCAAGTAACACAGTAACGTGAAATGTTGCAGTTATTCTACCAACTGATGTTGTTTTTCTATTGTTGCAGTGTGGATTGCTGACCATTAACTACATCATCGGATGTTAGTCAACTGGTTGAAAGTTATTCATTGTAAATAGAATACAGATTTCTTAGTAATCGTAATACATGAACTACTTAAACTAGATTGTGAGAGTTTACATTGTTTACAGGTCAACTAACTATTCGACGCCTCTACCATAACACATACCGTATATCAACACAGTCAATGATACTCGATGTGCTTGGATTATCACTGATGGTGATTGCTTATGGTGCATACGCCCTGGATGGAATAGGATTCCCTTTTTTAAAGCTGATTTCTCAACTTCTTCGGTAGAATATTTTATCCGCATATCGAAAAGTAAAAATAGAAAAGAAAAATAAATTAGAAAAAATAGAAGAAAAAGTGGGGGGTTGTGGCGCACTGGCCGGAGGCGTCCTGCAATACACACGTGGAATAGATCTTGGCGCTTATGGCCCATCAAGCCTTTCATCACTTTTTGGTCGACAAATTGGTACCAGACTTGTCTGGGAGGATAGCAGCACTGGCTCGATATATCGGTAGGCCACCGGGAGTCATTGTAAAAGCCATATTATGCATTCAATCACCTCCAAACGATGATTAATGAAATCGAATGCATGGCGCAACCCTCAGGCGTTGATCAATGCCGAGAGCTTTATCTTTTTTATATTGGAAAAAAAAGTACTTTTCTGAACAATTTTCTAAATAATCCTTGTATTATCTTAACCGTTTTATTTACTGCCTACTCTTTCAAATGGCAGGGCGTACTGCGAAATGTTACTTCAATGATGCTGAGATATTTGCAAAACTCCGGACCGCAGGTGTCTGAGGTGGGGAACGAATGCGGTATTACCCTTTCCAGGGACTAACGCTTTCATCACCACACCATGCGGGTCCTTCGTTTCGCCTGTCTCTTAGCTAGTTTTATCGATCTTCTGCCATCACCAATCACCCGTCATTGGGATTGATCTGGGGACCTAAATCGGTAATAAACCCAATTAGGCTGAAGCTTTAGTTATAATCACAATCTTAACCACCTTTTTTTAATCCTTTTCGTTCCCCACAACAGGCACCTGGGGTCCAGAGTTCTGAAATTACCTCAGCGTCGTTGAAATCCTGGCATATTCTAAGTAGTGCTTCCCTGAATCCTTTCATTTTTAATAAATGAAAATTTAAGGTGGTTCGCTTCATAGTTTCTTCATAAGCAAGCGACTTGCATGCTTACTATAACCGTGTGGTTCTCTAGTCAACAAAACTTGTGAAAAATATTTCATTATAGAGGATTCGCACAAATGTTTTTCATATTCATGGTGCTGCTGCTTGGACGAGGTCAAAATGTGACGAAAATGAAGCTCACCAAGGTTGAATCTTTTCTTCTATACAGTATAAGTACTTTTTTATTTTCAATTAATACGATTAGTTCCATTTGGTTTTAATTAACTGAGTGGAAAACAACTGCTCGTCGTGATTACCTCAAGACGACGTATGACTGCTGTCACTGCAGTCCAGAAAGAGCTTATCCAACCTGATGAATGTCATCCAAATTCAAATTTTTCTCTGGCTCATGGATTCTTCTTGAAAGCGATCCATTTGAAGTGAACTGAATACTGTTTTTCTGTTGTCTATCTTCTGTATTCAGTCGATAGCTTACAAATCATGTTCTAATAGATGTCCAAGAAGAACCGATCTCTGGACATCAAAATTTGTGGAAGGGAGCTTCACAGCAAGTATTTTTGTCTCTATCGTCTTGGCATCGATTTTTTAGCTTGTCGGACATGAAGAGTAGAGTAGGCTATTGCTAATTAAAAAGATACTAAAGAATTTGTACTTGAATAGCATAGTTCAACACCGGGAAACCCCCTCAATGACGTATTGAATAGCATATGTGGTCTTATGTCTATGAACGGAATTCTAGTTTACGTGTTCACTCATAGTCACCTGATTTACTGAATGTGAAAGTGCTGAGATTGCTCCCGTGGAGGGGTTGTCCGTGGAAACACAAGAGGTGTTCGGCTGCCACTCTTTCAAATATCCATCCACATTATATCCATTGTGTTAACAAAAACGTTTTAAAACCTATTGGTTGCATTTGCTAAGATTTGCATCTGAATCTGCGGCTACTATTGAGGCAACTTAACCAGAAACATTTCTAGTTACCTTCAGTGCTAATTTATTGAGCACCATTTCCTGCAGATCCGAAACCGTGATAATTTCGTAATTCGCTGTAACAGTTTATACAACGTCTTAGAGACTTTCTTCACACTCTGACAATAAATCCATCATGCATTCACTACGCACTCTACTATTCCGATTTCTGTGTACTTTCAATTTTCCCCTTTTTAGTTTTTGTTCTTCCTGCGCGTGCTGACTCCTCTGGTATAAGTGGTGCGCCACCTAGATAAGGGTGGTATACATGAATTAATCGTGTACCTCCTGTCTTATACAAAACGTAGGTTGCAATGTCGATCAAATGGAGCCAACAACCAACAAAACTGTCCTACGTCTCCACTTTAGACTGATTAGAATAAGATCCAGAAATGGGCAAGAGCTACAATAATCCCACAACTGTAGCGGTCTAACAATTCCCACCCATAGGCAGAGGAGGCAGGTGGACCTTTTCACCTTTTAAACAGTTGCGGCTTCTAAGAAGTTTTCTTCTGTTGTCTACTTCTGTTTATCCTTTCATAACAAGAACGCAAGTATCGGTTGTAAGTATTTTTCAAAGTCTACTAGTGCTAGCTATCCAAACAAAAATTGTTGATATATACCAGATTAACTATCATTCAAGATTTGGAACTCACACACCGCTGGTTTGCTTGGCACTCAACGCTAATATTTGTTTTGTTTTCTCATCTCATCAATTTTTCATTCTCAATCATTCACTTTCTTCGACTTTCCCATCGACTAAAGGCGTAACGGATTGTTCATTGTCTCTATAGTCTTCAGCTTTTCACTTTTTAATCTCGGCGAGCAATAAATGAAAAAAATCCACTTTCCGCTGATATGACTTAGCCTATAAAATTCACCTTCGACCATAAATTGCTTATTACCTCCTTTTCAAGAGAATAAACCATGGCTATCGCGTGCAGTAAGCAGGTATAAAAAATATGTCAATTGCCAAAGTATACACTGCATATTTCGTGATATTTGGCGAATGGCGACTGTATTGTGACTGGGTGGCGGGGAAATACTCTTCATGAAACAAAGATGGAAAAACAGCGCATCGATAGGCATAGAAAAAACCAATGAAATAGTAAATAGCACAAGGATTTTGAATGAAAAATACAATATACCAATTTAGAAAGCGAAAATGCAAGAAAAGGGACCAAGTCAACAATTTTTGGGAAAATGTTTGACGGTCATGTATTGAATTCAAAGCCTACTACATTCGCTGCTATTTGACGTCTTCAGATCTGTCCTATGTTTGAGGAAAATGTTAAATGACTTTAGTTGGCATAAGTGAAATCTGTTTTTGTCCTCATCGTTCAAAGGTTCTGCCAAATACACTTTGTCCATTGAATAAACATGAACGTTGTCATAGTTCTGTTGGGATACCTTTTAGTTTCACCGCTTATTGGCAGAGGGTATCAGAGAGTGACTGACTCGACTACGTTGCTGAAACTAGGTTTATTTACAAAGTAAAACGCATTGTTCTTCAATGGGGAAGGGCTGGGGCAAAGTAACACCTCGTGCTTGCTCAACTAGATTTTCGAGAACTGTTTGATCAGCGCCGAAGTTAATAGAATGTCGATCGTGGGAGTAACTCTAAAACTTTTCCCAGTCGTTGTCAGTCACTTCACGATTGCATGGTACAGTCCGTATAAACGATAATAGCAGAGGTGCGGAGCGCAGTGCTGGTGATTTCAATCATCACAAGTGCGGCGATGGTTGACCCTCTGTGTAGAGAAAGATCACTCTTTGCAGTCTAAACGTAAACTCTTTAGTCTGGCTTTCTCAGGGCTCCAGGGAGAATTGACTCGACCAACATTCGACGACATTCATAGTGAAATCAAAATCATCAAGCAGCAGCCGAAACCACATGCGAAAAATTGAAAGACCTTCACGTGTTATGATTGTGAGAAAACCAATCGAACACTACAAATGTTGGCATCTCCAAAGTAGACGTGAAAGATGGGTCGCGTAAAAAAGTTATGAGCGAAAGGAATATCCACACCTATGCGTAAATGTCATAAAGCTTATACACAAGAGATATGACAACTAGAGAATATGACACCCTGAAATAGAGATATCTGAACTGTTGGTCGCGAGAAGTGAGAATTCAAGAGTGTTTCATTTCCAGATGGATAACATCGTGCTGTATTGTCTGACATCATTCTTCATCGTTTCATATATTGGAATGCTATTTTGGGAAATAAAGGTTTGTTGGGCTGAATGGCTTTGTTGCTTCATTGTTGACTAAGTTAAGTAGTGTACTCCTTATATTCCTGGTTTTTGGCATGGAACAAAAAAGTTTTCAGAATTTATGAAGGTGAAGGGGTAAATTTAACGTTATTAATCAACCTCGTTGATATTCGTCATCATTTCTTGCCTAAATTACGTTGAGAGGATCGGTCTGGATGCGGCGTGCACCGTGCTATCTACTTCTTGCCTGACCGGACGATGAGACTAATGCTACGGTGGCTTTAGCTGGTCATCTTTATACAAGGAATCCATATATCATTTCCTCATGAGCGACGCCGTGTTGAATTTCATTAATTGTGACAGTACTGCCCAGTTTGTATTGCAGACGAAAATTTTCAGCCATTTCCCATATACCAGAAGTCAGCGGACCACTTGCAAATACTGTTCGCACCCTATATTTTTATTAGATATTGCAGGGATTTGATCCGGCGCTTGTGTACTTCCAGTCAGAGTCGATCCCTGGTTTCTTGCTGGCCGGATGGCGAATAGTCGCATGGGTCTTCTTCGTTACGAATTCATACTTTACACAAAGGGTACACCCAACAAAACGAAAGTTCTATTCGACGTTCGTCACACTCTTAACGCCGTGGTACGAAGCTCTGCTTTCTTTTATTTTAATTGTTAAGTTGAATTTATGATCTAGACAAGAAAAGTTTTTATGTAAACGTGGAAGATCATCGCCAGAAATATTTTTTCCCACGCAGTTCGTTTTCAGGTTTTGGGCTGGACCAATCGTATTATGTATTGCAAATTATGTGCTGGACAACTGGGTCAGAGAAGGGGTGGTGAACATAGTTGACAACGGCGTCATTTCTTATGGTTACATCGTTTTTCTGGTAGTTTAATAAATTTCTCTCAGAAATAATTTTCGAAATGTTCTTAAAGCTACCAACCTTTCACATATAAAGATTTCCCAACCAGTTGTTCGCGCAGTCATGCCGGATATCCTACGTGGCTGACAAAGGGCTAGACACAGGTGTGGAGAAATAGCGAAAAAAATCATTAATCAGGATATAGCTGACTTGAAATTTACTGGTTGAGTTGCCGTTTTACGTTTTCTCATTTTCATTCCTGTCTTACAGTATATCTCATGGCCAAGCAACGCAAACGCCAACTTTCCATTTCACATTCGAACTACACAAATCGATGTCAGCTTCAACCCAAATAACGCCTACGTGAGCTTTGTTGCACTTTCGAGTCAATTTTTACACCACTGTCACTCTTTTTTTTCTAAAAAGGGGTGATCTTTCATTCTCTATAATCTCTTTCTGCAGTTTTATATTACAGTTAGTGCTTATAAATGGTTAACAAATGTGCTTATTACAAAATTAGTTATTTCGTTTCAGCAAGCTAAAGAAGACGTGGTTGCACCGATGCCCTTGGACCAAATGAGACCACAAATTACAACTGAGCACGGTCATACGAATGACCGTCTGTAATTCCGTGTCAGATATTTCATCGATTTCACATACATTTTAGTAAAAGGCTCTACCAGTAATCCTTTCCTTAATCTCTTAGTTTAATAAAATCAATGTATTCCTAAGAGCATACGCACTACCAAAAAATTTTCTTGCACTTTAATGAATTTTTTGGTAAATATAACTAATGCAATGTAATAATATCTTTATATTGTCAAACATCTCCCACCTCATCACGGCTGGGAAGTGTTCCTGGATGTCCGGCTGCGATATACAGCTGGGGTATGTATCCTCCCGGCAGGGTCTCCTGAGCGGAGGAGTCCGGCGCTTCCACAAGGAAGCTTAGCTAAGAGTAAACTAATACTAGGATTCGCCATCATCCTGCTATCAAACTAGTCGCATCGTGACAAATCAGCTTCTGATCCAGAAGGGAGGCGACTGCCTGTGTTGTTGACGACCTGGGGCAGACTTTAGCCACGGTGACCACAGGACCCCGGGGAAACGCAATGGCTAACCTAGCAAAACTCCGGAAAATGAAGATTATGGTGGCACCCACGCAATCACTGAGGATGAGCCATTCAAGCATCAAGTATATTGTCAAACAAATTCCGTCATAAAAAGCCTGACAGTGCCTTACACAAGATCATCTACCTGTTGAATTCAAATGCTTCGAATTTCAATTATCCAGCTTTCGCTGAACTCGTATCTGATGAGAGCTCGTAATAAATCATCTTCATTTTTTTTTTCAGTAGCGATTTACAAATCATTGATGGAAAGCAAACGAGAAAAGAAAACCATAATGATGGTAGCTGACAGTACAATGTTCTCATAATATTACTCTAAAAAAGTTTCACATAAATATGAATAATGCGAATAATAAAGTATACACATAGAAAATTTTCAACAAGATCAAGTTTTGCTCGTAATTGAACGTTTTCGTTCGCAGTCTGATTGATGAATATGGTGAAAAATCGCCATATAAGCAGGCTTATCGTTTCAAATAACACTAGGGTAGCGATAACTCCTAAATTGCAACCCATTAGGATCTTTACAATATTAACATTCAAGTTTCCTCGAATCATTTAATGTATAAAGAGTTATTGATCTGCAAGTGGTAGTGATATATAGAAACACGACCACGTTATTAGCCTAAGAGAAATTAACGAGAAATGAAGAGATGAAGCATCTCTATGATGTGAAGAACTACGGTATCTTGTTTGAGACCGATGAAAACTCTAAATATACCAATGGTCGGCATTTTTGTGTAGTCCGGCGGTAGATTATCCAACAAAATTGCGCCATTCATTATTTGAACAGCCAAACAAAGTAGTAACCATATTAAACCATTCGGTGAGCGAAGAAGTGAGCATGCATACGTTAAGCTAAACGATCACTTCTCATGTTTTCACAATGGTCTTCATTCAACGTTAAATCAAGAGTATTTTCTGTCCTAGTAAATTACTTAACTTACATGAAGTTGAGAAAAAATTACACAACCTTGTATCAAACTATGATTAATGTTCCGGAAGCCTTCACTTTTTTCTGATTTTCAATTGTGATTAATGTTCCGGAAAAAACCATTTTTAAACGTTCAAATCAATTTATCGGATAACGGTTATATGATAAAATGGTACCGAAAACCAAGTAACAAAAACATTTTCGTTCATTTCTTCTTCTCCCACCCTTCACACACAAAGAGGGCGCTTGTAAGAAATATGTTTCGGACAGCCACCTCTGTGTGCACAAGTAGGGAACTAAAGGAAGAATCGCGCAACTTAGCTCGGCAAATAGCCTTCTTCAATGGCTACGAAATAGTAACCCCACGATATAAGTCTAGAAGGAGAGCGACGCCGCAAAACGAAAAACGTGGCCAAGACAAAATCCCGCTTATGTTGGCCTTCATTAACGATGAATTAAGTGTAGCTATAAAATGTTGCTTAAAAAGGGCAGGCTTAGAGGAATCGGTTGCGATAATAGTAGAAATACCACCCGATACTTTTCGTCGTCAGTTACTTCGTAACCGCCTGTATTACCGTCTATGCGAAACACAAAGCTGCGTATTTTGCCCTCACGGCAGGGACGGTGATTGCATAAGTTCAGGAACGATATGCCTGATACCTTGCAATAATTGTGCAAATGAATATATTGGAGAAACGGGCAGACCTTTTTGAACCCGTATAAAAAACATTTAGAGGGTAAACGATAGCTAAGACAAAGTACCCTACTAGGGACGCATCACATGTATCACCTGTAGTCCCGTCGATCGTCGAGTGACCCGAGCGGGCGCCAGTCGATCTTCCATTTTTTCCTGTCGCGTGCAAGAGTAGCCCAGTGAGTTCTGCTCGCTCTATGGACTCGTCGAGCGTCGAGCATCATATCTTTCTTCAAAACTCTTTATGAAGAACTCTGACCATCGGGTCGGTGGTTTTCCTGCAGAACGCTTGACATTTCGAGGAATCCAGTCACTAACGGCTCCTGTCCATCGGTTGTCATTCATACGCATTACGTGTCTGGCTCAGCTTGTCTTCAACCGTTTGGCGTACATAATGGCATCTTTGTTTTTTGATCGTTGACGCAGATCGGAGCTCCGGATCCCATCCCTTAATTGTGTGAAACGAGATACTCCTAGCACCGTCCTTTCGACTGCGCGTTCGATAACACTGAGTGACCTATCATTCTGCTTACGCAGCGACCAGGTTTCTGACGCATACCTAAGGGCAGGGAGTACCATTGAATCGAAAAGGTGGGCACGGAGTCGGGTGCTCTTTGTTCTTTTCATTACAACCTCGATTATCTTGAAAGCTCCCAAGCCACTGGTTTCCTTCTGCTCAACTCTCTAACTAATAATCACAATTTAACGTATTATTTACTGCCTACTCTTTTTAACGGCAGGGTATACATTGTGAAATATAACTTCAATGTTGCTGAGATATTTGCAAAACTCCGGACTGTAGGTGTATGCGGTTGGGAACGAACGCGCTATTGTCCTTACCGAGGAGTAGCGCACTTCACCACCACACCATCCGGATCCTTCGTTTTCCCTGTCTCTCAGCCAGTTCTATCGATCTCTTACCATCAGCAGTCACCCGTCTGCGGGATTGATCTGGGGGGCTACTCCTCGGTAAGGGCAATAGCGCGTTCGTTCCCCACTGCATACACCTGCGGTCCGGAGTTTTGCAAATATCTCAGCATCATTGAAGTTATATTTCTGTAACTAATAGTTTGAGTATTCGGAGATATTCCGTTGAGCGTGAATGGGGCTTACGAAACCAATTCGTTCTTCATGGACATCGTTTTGTGAGATTTAGTCGAAAGCAAATTTTTCCACAGCCTTTATCAAAGTTGGCAAGTATTAGTTCTGTTTGGCTAATGTTTAGTGTTATAAGGACGATGTCATCACCAAATTGAAAAAGACGCAACTGCTGACCATCACTTTTCACTTCCATGTTGACCTGTTCCAATGTCAGTATGACGTTCTCGAGGGTGGTGGTGAATAATTTTGGAGAGAGGGAATCGCCTTTCCTAACCCCTCTTTTGACGCCGATGTTAATATCATTGTAGAATGGTGATATCTTGGTTGTGAGGTTTTTGCACAACTCACGAAGAATCTTTGTACACTGCGCAGGGACTCTTTGACTATCAAGGGCTTCCATGTCTGCTTCTGTCTCAATTAAGTCAAAGGCCTTCTTTAAACTGATGAAAGTGGGACAGAGCGGTCTTTTGTACTCTCGCGTTACTTCATTGAGTCTTCTTATCGTATGAATGTGGTCCATCGTGCTAAATCGTTTTCGAAACCATGCTTGCTCACATGGCTGTCCTTCGTCAAGTGTTCTGTCAATCCTGTTTAGGATGACTCAAGTGAAAAGTTGGTAGACGGTAGACAGTAAACAAATTTGGCGATAGTTGCCGATGTCGTGCAGGTCACAGTTTTTGAACAATAACACGGTCTTCCTGGTCTCCCACTGGGCGGTGACCTTGCATTTAGATAGGTGACGTGTGAACAGCCTAGCCAGTGTGCTTACGAGGACTGTAGGAGGTTTTTCAAGTGTTCAAATCTTATCCTCTCCAGTCCTGGTGCTGTTCGTTTTTTCATTGACGAAATAGCATTTCGGATTCCGGAAGGGGAAACCGGTGGTAAGACATATCCACTTTCCTTTATTTCATATGAGAGTAGGATGACGTGCATATTGAAGAGATGTGAATAGTAATCATGAATGATTTTCTCCATTACCTTTCTGGACATTGTAACTGTTCCGTTTGGGCTTCGGAGTGCAATCATCTTGGTCATGTAAATGGCGAAGCATCGGTGGGCTTTGCGAATGCTTTTCTCAGCCTCTGCAGCTTCGACCGTTACTGCTGCTCTTCTCTCTTTAAGACCTTCTTTTATCGCCAGTCTGCATTGTTTTGCAGGTTCAGACGTTAGTTCGCGGTTGCCTGCAGTTCGTGCGCTGCCACGCTGACGTATCAACTCGAGTGTTTCCGAAGGCGGACGTCTCTTGGTAACTTTCCAGCGGTCAGCTTTCATACCGCTAACGTGAAGATGTCCAATGAGTCAATGATATTCCTCATCGATGTTATCGACAACGACATCTTCCCAACATCCGACTAGTGAATTGAATATGTCTCAGTTTATGGTGGTTTTGGTACTTCGTTTTTTGCATTTAGCGGCATTTTCACCTTTCTGCGAGAAATACAATCTTGCACGAAGGAGGCGAAGGTCTGATCCCGTGTAGAATTTTGGGACAACAGCGACATCGGTTGTGCAAAACCTTCTCTGTTTACTATAACGCGGTCTATTTCGTTATGGCACTCACCATTGGGAGACTCCCACGTACAGCGTTGAGGGTGGGACTTCTGGAATTGGAAATGGAATTCGCTGTAGAGCTTCTCCAAGTCCATATAGAACGCTTCGACTTCTTCTTCATCATAGTTTGATGTCGACGCGTAAAGGACGAAGATTGTCAAAGCCGGAATTGATCCACGTCTTCTTAATCGTAAAGGCGATTTAACGTTGGAGAAGACGTGGATCGTAGGGGCGCATAAGATACAGAAACATAGCTGAGACGATTTTGATATCATAGTCAATATCCACAGGATGTCAAAGCACCAACGGGCAAACTTCTAGAGGCTTTTTGGATAAATACCAGAAACCCTAGAATGAACACCAGGGAGGAATGCCCGGAGATCACACCTGGTCTAGCCCCGTACCTTAGCATCGACTTTTGATGCGTGTGGTGCATTTATCGACCATATGCGACTTGATCAGCTGTTCTTCCTCAGTGGAAGGCACGTAATAAACGGTGGGTTTTTTCGAGAAACCGTTGATCGTGTGATTGCGATCTAGATCTTCATCTTTCTGTATGTGTTAATGGAGCGTTCGACTTAGTAAACTACCTGTCAATATACCCTTCCAGGCTCTGAAGAAGGCGAAAATCCACCGAAACGTCAACTTTAACGGAATAAAGAAGAAAGTAGCACCTCATATTCGCTCAACAACAATAACGAGAACTGTTTGATCAATGCCGAGGTTAATAGAAAGCTTGTCGTGGGAATTCTGACCAGGCTCCTTACGATGCTACTGAGCTAACTTCCTATAACGATCTAAAAAGATTAGGAAAGTAACTTTCTATGGAGCTCTAAAAGCATCAAAGAGTTCGG